TCGATTGACCAGCGGTCAGCAGTGGCAGTGGCAACATCGCCCGACAGGACACACCTTAGCACCTTCCCGATGAGGTAGTAGGTTGTATAGTTCAGAATCATACCCTCGGGGCAACAACTATACTAGCCTACTAGCTTACCTGGCGGGTTGCTGCTTCTTCAACAGCCTGTCTGCGACTGTGGCCATAATTGCGGTGAATATACATTGCCTGACATTACTGTATATTTATATCTTCTGTTGTGCGTTAGTGTTGATGATGGCGGCAGCAGTGATCCTACGTATTATGTGCGGCAGTGAAAGTTATATTGTGTGCGATGGACAGTGGCTATTCATTGTGCCTTTCGCGACTCGATAAGCAGTGTGAACAGGGAGGCGATGGCACTGCACAGATGAGGAGAAATTCCATGATGATTGTTCGTCGTTGTCTGATCGTGTCGGCGATGACGACAGCAAAGTACATTCTCAGCGATGCGTGCCTGTCGCGCCGCCGCCAGTCGTTGTCGTCTGGCTGCCTTTGCTGATGTGCAGAAAAAGTTGCGACGACAGTAAATGCGGAATGGATGGCCGCCGCCACGGCCACCGACGACGATGACGATGACGACGACCTAGAGAGCGCGTGATATAAGCGGTTTCTAGAAGAGGACATGAGAAGATATCTAACATCTGTTGAAGAATAAGAAGAGGAAAAACGCTACTACACCATTTGCTTCTCAATTCCGTACTTGCTGTGCGGCAACTTTCGACAGTAAACAGAACCAGTAGAGTCACCGGTTCCCTGAGACCCAAACTTGTGATGGTTGTCCGAATCATGGGTTTGGGGTTCAGGAGCAGGTGTGCTTCGAACGGCTTCTCTCCCCATTGTTGCAGCGTCGTCGATGGTTTTATCGGAACGAGTTTCTGTGGTCTGCATGCACACCGGACTTTATACGCTTTGTTCCTCGTCTAGTACTTCCAGGTAATGAATCTTCGAGTCCGGATTGATTAAGTTCTCTTGTTAATTATCTCACAAAGCTACCTCTGGCTGTTCGTCTTCCGTTACTGTAGTTAGTGCGCGACATTTGCACTAGTGCCATTTTTCATGTTGCTCGCTTGCTCACGCATTCGCCTCGTTCCACGTATATAAAAAGTCCTCGTAACGGCCGCCATCGCCGTCGGTTGAAGTCAGCGCCGTCGTAGTTCTGCTTGTCATCTGTATCTGGCGTGTACGGCGGATGACGCAAGCCGGTGTCCAGCTGAGTGCCTGGCCAATCAGCGCATGTCGTCTGCGTCTAGGTTACCGCCGGTGGTGACTCACGCTACACTCCTCGTACGCAGAACGATGGCAGACATACTGACTGACGGACGAACCGACCGACCGACCGACCGACGGTAGATCGGTCGATGAAAGTCTTCAGTTGCTTTGATCTTCTGTCACGTGCATTGGGCAAAGTCGTCGATGACCGTCTATTGACAAACATCGATTGATCGATCTATTGCTTAAAAATCAATCACTCCACAACGAACAAACTTATCCCCTTTCCTCTCGACGTTCTCATAATCTGATCACTGCGGTCCACTTTTCGGTAGTGCACGTCGTACGTACGCTGTGCCTTGCTTGATATGATGAATCGACACGACAGCAGTAGCTCGGTTTAGATGACTTTTTATGAATGGCACCGAATGACGTCATCGTCTTAACGCGGAAGTGCAATAATCTCGGCTGTTGAGCGTCGTCGCGACTAGTAGCAGATGTTTTTGCATCGTTTCATCTTCCACCGTACACCTTTATGACAGATTTGCATTTTGATTTTGCCCTCTGTCGTGCTTCCCAATTCTAACGATTCCTGAAGAGGTACTTCGCGCTACCTTTTAAATTGGCTTTTGCTATTCTTAATCAATTTTAGAACCCTACGAGAAGAACACTTATCTTTCGCTCTT